CAAGCACCGTGGGGGACGTATTGGGGGAGAAGTGTTGGAGGGGGTGAGTGGTTTGTGGTTGAGTGGCATTGGTGGACTGGCATCGTAAGTGCATGTCCATAGGGGGAGAGAGGGGGAGTTGTTTTGAGGAGGCGATTCGCTGGGTGGATGAATTGAAGGTTATTTTATTGATTGAGGTGTACTTTAGGGCTACCAGGGGGTTCGGGGGAGAGGGGTCGTTGTGGTTCACTGGATCTGGTGATGTAGTATTTCGCAGCCGTGCAATATGAGATGGTGATGTTCGGTACACGAGGAGAGCTGGAATGGAATTGGCTCGATATCGGGGGAGTCAGCCATAGGTGAATAAGTGAATGCAATTGCAATTGAGTTGGTGTTTTGGCGAATTTGTTATCGCTCTTGTGACAGGTCGTTGCTTATGTCAGCTATTGTTAAGCAGCACGGCTGCAAGTCCTGAGGGCAAATGTTCTGTGGAGTAGAAGAGTCGATTTTTTTCTATGAATTAGCTTGAAAACTAATAAGCTTGAACTATGAATCCTTGGATAGACTTATCAGGCTCGTCCTACTGAGAAGATCTACAAGCCATTCTCGTCACCTCTTCTACTCCACGAGCCACTGAAAGAGACAGCTTTTTATTCAAAGACGACTGAAAGCTAACTAGATTTTCCAATCGAGAAACATGCCTATCTAGTTCATACAGCCTTCCTGCTTTTTTTCATATTACCCTACTTGTCCTTCCTTTCTTCTTACATCACCTCTAGCACAAACCGAGCACAACTATCAAAACCAACCAAAGCCTACTTCCAAGAGAATACCAAATTACAACACTAAAAGCAACTCACTCATTCAACGTCCCCCACCCCTCCAAATCCACTAATCCAGTCCCGACATACCCAGATGTACGCGGACCCGCGCACATCGCAGACCCGCACAAGTCTCAACCAAAGGTCGTGCACAGGCCACATCGCCCTAAAGGTGCGAAAAAACCTTTGACTGAAAAATTTCTCTCCTACATCACCACATCAAAAATGGCTTTCGACAAATCCGTCAAGACTTCCGCCTACTCGTCTCGTTTCCAGACCCCCTTCCGTAGAAGAAGAGAGGGTAAGACCGACTACTACCAGCGTAAGAGATTGGTCGCTCAGCACAAGGCCAAGTACAACTCCCCCAAGTACAGATTGGTGGTGAGATTCACCAACAAGGACATCATTGCCCAGATTGTCTCTTCCCAGATCGTCGGTGACATTGTCTTGACCGCCGCCTACGCCCACGAGTTGCCAAGATACGGTATCAAGCACGGTTTGACCAACTGGTCCGCTGCTTACGCTGTCGGTTTGTTGGTTGCCAGAAGAGCTTTGCAGAAGCTCGGTTTGGACGAGACATACCAGGGTGTCGAGGAGGTCGAGGGTGAGTACGAGCTCACCGAGGCCGTTGAGGACGGTCCTCGTCCTTTCAAGGTTTTCTTGGACATTGGTTTGCAGAGAACCACCACCGGTGCTAGAGTCTTTGGTGTCTTGAAGGGTGCCTCTGACGGTGGTTTGTACGTTCCTCACTCTCCTAACAGATTCCCAGGTTGGGACATTGAGTCCGAGGAGTTGGACGCTGAGCTCCTCAGAAAGTACATCATGGGTGGTCACATTGCTGAGTACATGGAGGAGTTGATGGACGACGATGAGGAGAAGTACAGACAGGTCTTCAAGTCCTACATTGACGAGGAGATTGACCCTGAGGATGTTGAGGAGATCTACATGAACGCCCACGAGAAGATCAGAGAGGACCCATCTTTCAAGCCTACTGAGAAGAAGCACACCAAGGCTGAGTACGCTGCTGAGTCCAAGAAGTACAAGGACGTCAAGTTGACCAGAGAGCAGAGACAGGCCAAGATCAACGAGAAGATCGCCAACTTCAAGGCCCAGCAGGAGTAAGCGTCTTCTTTTGTATAGTCAATCGTCTAATCTTTCTAGTTTTTCATGTAGTGATTTTGCATGCTAGTGTATTCCTATTCTGTAGCCTAGGCGGCTTCCTTGTTGGAGCGGACCCGCTGCGCTTCGTTCAAGAGCTTATCGTATGCTTCGTCCACCACGGGATGAACGTTCTGATCTTCGTTGGAGTCAATGGAGTGTGCATCATCATCCTGGACCGGAGTCTCGTGTGCATCCTGGAACACAGGCTCAGTGGTTGTGGGCCGCTGTTCAGTAGCCGGAGCAGACTGTCCTGGGTTGTAAATGCCGTCCAAACTGATTCTCTGACTGTTGATTTTCGAAATCAAGTCCGTGACAGAATCCACCCCCTTGGCGTCAATAATGGCCTCTCGAAGCTCAGACCCAGAAGGAACCGTGCCAATGACCAACTTCTCCTGTTTCTCCTTATCGGAAGGCTCGGCCTTGTCTCTGTGCTCCATGAAATAACCCCATCTGTGGAACTCACCTTCCTCTTTCTCCTGCTCTTTGGCATGCACAGACGTCTGTGACATGGATCTGAACAAAACAGGACGGCCTGTGGTATTATCAATGGGAACCGTCAGACCGTCAGAGCCAGCTTCGACAACAACCTGATGAGGTTCAAAGGTTTGCTCGCTGGGCTGGCAAGTCACTGGAGGTGGTCTTGATTTGGCCATCAAAATTGGACCGGCGTCAATGAGTGCCTTGGAGCCCTCGTGAAGCTGCTGATGGTCAACGTATTTCATTGGCTCCGTAGGACCCTGTGCAATGGCCAGGTCAAGCGAAAGTTGTTTGTCATCGTGCGTGGAAGGCGATGGACTCAATGGAGTGTTGGTGAACTTCTTTGCCTTTTGCTCGAAAAGATGAACCACCTTCTCGAGCGAGGCATCAAGGAGACAGAAACGCAACAACGATTCCTTGTCCTCGAAATTGAGTGTTCCCATTGCACGTTTCTGGAAAAGACTATCAATGATTTTGTGGATATCCTTTCTGATCGAGTTGGTTCTCTCGATCAATGCATTAGTAATGATCTTCTGGAGCTTCAAGTCAGCCTCTCCGGAATTCTTATCGCTTTCAATCAACATCTTCTCCGCGGTCTCCATGAGAAGTGAACCGTCGAACATAACGTCATCCTGGGCAGCATCACCACGGCTGGAGATGTCTGGTCTGACTTGACGGTCCAAGTTCTTCATCAAGTAAAGAGCCAACCTCTGTGAAAGCTCATCTGGGACGAGGTCATAATCCAAATCAAGATTGAAGATGTTTGAGTTCTTCACGGCCGAGTATAATGAACCAATGCAACCACGGTCCAAGTTACGGTTTCCAAGAAGCGATACGTGCACTAGGTTCTTCACCTTCGGCAAGATATCTGCAATGGCATCGATGGACTGTGAAGTGAGCTCGTTCAAGTCGAAGTGAACACGCCTTAATGAAGGAAAGTATGGCAATGTTTTGCTAAGCTTGGAGATGACGCCAGGGAAAAGCTGTGGTAAAGAGCTCAAGTCCAAGAAACGAAGAGTCTGGACTTTCGACAAACCCCTCAAGAGCTCGCCCACTTCTTCCATGTTTTGAATGTGGGTGGAGTTGAGTGAGAAGAAAATAAGGCGAGTGGGCTTGGTGTTGAAAGCATCAATGAATGGACGGAGTTGGCCCTGGCTCAAGTCGTTGTAGGCAATGTCGATACCCACACACTTGGAGTTGGGTCTGCTGATCCAGTCAGCGATCAACTTACATTTGCAGACATTGATTTCTGTCGCTGCAACACCAAGTCTGCAAGTGGCGATGGTGAGGGCTTCCTCAAGAAGCTTCTCAAAAGTGTCGTCTGAGAGCTTGCAGCCACCCATGACGAGCTCTTCAATGCCGCCTCTGTGAATCAAGGTCTTGATGAAGAGGTTCCAATTCATCGCGGAACGGAATGAGGTTTGCTTTGTAACGGTTTTCACTCGTTGTTGGGAGATGTCAAGCTTCTTGACGGTACGGTTCCTGCCCAAGAACTCACAGAGATAGAGCCAGCCTGTCTCGTCGATGGCGACGTTTCGAAGTGAGAGTTTCTCCAACGTTTTGCTGTGAACCAAAGAGCCTAACAAGTGCTTGAGCATCTCGGTTGTCATGGTGACGTTGTCGAATATGACGGTGTTGATGGGGGTGATAGCAAGGAAGTCGCTAAATGAAAGAACGTCAATCAACGTGGGTTTCGGGTTGAGGAGCTTGAGGGTCTGGAGCGGGCTCGTTTTGTTCTTCAACTGTTTGAGCGTAGCTGGGATGGGTAAGATTTCACGAAGATGGCAGCATCTGCTGTAAATATCCTCAAGCAGGAGGTCCTCGATTGGTATTTCTGTGGAGCTGTTGCCCTCGTCAAAGTGGTTCTCGTGAATATGCAAAGGCTTGTCGATTTCGATCTTGCCGGCCTGGACGTCAACTTCGTCGTCGTCCGCCATGGCAGGCGACTTGCTTGAAGTCTTGAACAGAGAAATCTGATTAGCAAGGCGTTTGGCAGAAAGGTGGGCGTCCATGGCGTGCTTTTCAGCTTCCGCAAGGGCCTTTTTCTGAGCGTCCACGGCCATCTGAAGCTCTTTTTCAGAGTACTTTGTTTCCGTGACGTTCGTCTTGTTGCCCTTGCCGTCGCTGACGGAGATGCCTTGAGAAAGCCGAGGAAGGGGAGCAGTCAAGTCCTCAGGGATAAGCACATTTCCTCTTTTGGGTCGTCTGGAGGGAATCTGCTGCTGAGGATCATCGGAAAGCTTCTCCAATGCAAAGGCGACTCTTCGTAAACGACGCTCTGCAAACTCTCTCATTACCTTCTCTTTGTTCGGGTTCTTGTTGAGCACAACTCTCTGAGGTGGAGGCGGAACCTGGTCCACGTTGGACGTTCTGCGCTTGAAGAAGCCTCCTCTTTCGGAATCCAAAGACAGCTTAGGGCTCGACGAAAACGAAGACCGTCTGCCTCTGCCCTGAGGAATCAGAATGCCAGCTTCAGGTGGAGGTCTGTTGACGAGCGACGCCAAGTCCTGATTGGCCGGCGGCGGCTGGGATCCCGAGCCGATCATGTTGGGATTGAGCTTGTGGGAAGTGTGGGGGCTCATGCTGGGCAGACCGCCGGAATTGGAGCCGTTCAGCTTGAACTTCAGCGAAATCGAGCTGAAGAAGGACCGTCCACGGCCCGAATTGGACCGCAGCGGCGGCTGTGAAGAGCTCAGCTCTGTGTCCAGCGAATTGCCATTGGAGGAGCTCCCCAAATTCATGAAACTGATGCTGGAGCGCCGTTTAGGAGGTTCCACGGAAGAAGTAAGCAGAACAGAAGATGCAGACGACGCCTTGGGGCTGGGTTTGGCAGGAGGTTTAGGTAACTCTTTGTTTTCCTCCTTGGGCTCCTCCGGCTTCACCACAGGCGCCTCCTCCTTCGGTTTGTCCTTATCCTTGTCCTTTTCCTTGTCTGGCTTCTTCTCACCTTCATCGTCTGGTTTGTCCAGGTGGAGCTTTTTCGTGAGTTTTTTCGACTTGCCTCTGAAAAGCCAGTCGACATCGCCGTTAGAAACACCCGTCTCGATGTCCGACGGCGGAATAGACATGGAGAAGCTGTGGTGCTTTACTTTAGATCTGTTGCTCTCCGTGCAGTGCGATAGTGCCCAATAGCGATATGAAGAGATCTGAGGGGCAGGATGTGGCTGATTTTGCTGAAGTAGTTTTTGGTGTAGGGACGAAAAAACGCTAGTTGGCTGAAAAGACGGTTTTTGTTTTGTTGGTCTGTGGGGTGGATCGGTATTGTAGGTTGGGCTGGACCTGTATTGCATCAGCATCAGGCATAATGGGCAATTTCGCTAATACATTCTACAAGAGGGGAGGCAGGTGGGCTACTTTTTACGAAAACTATTGATATTTTGTTTTTGGTTGATTTAAATGAAAGCACTTTTAATTGAATTGTAGGAGTGACCCTACTACCTGGCTGCTCATTGTCCATGGAATCTGGCGTGATTTGGCTTTGTGCGATATTAGCAACGCTGGCTATTGGTTAAGAGCACGTTGGCAAAAACGGTACCAAATAAGATTTAGCTGGCTTTTACCAGTCAGACGACCGTAAAAGTATCCTCTAACTGGCTGCTCTCTTTAACTTTTTAGTTTTAGTTCGCCTCAAAAAGAGCTCTTCATTTGCTGCACCATTGTTGGAAATGGCTGCGAAATCTACCTTGTAGAATGCCACATACACTAGCATCCCCTCCACAGAATCCGTGAAAATATAAAGAGCTTTGCATATCAAGCGGCTTATCGTGCGTTTATTAACTCGTTTCTTCCTTCTGGAAGCCCAAACGGCTTTTTTCCAGATTCGGGCAAAAGAGGTACCCAACAGGATGAAGCTCTTCCATAGGACCCCTAACTAAACCCCCCACGAACTCAGTTTTCTTAGGGATGTCAGTTTTCTTAGTTTCGATTCCAAACTTGTTTGCCGATCGCCTTGTTGACCGGCCTATAGACACCAATGATTGGCGTTCAATGCCCGATAAGCAAAGCCCTCTTTAGTCGCTAGCCTGTTTAGACGACCAGTGAGCATGTGAAGATGGTGCAGATCTCGTGATACTAAGCTTGGAAGAGAACATAAGGGAATATGGAAGCAGGAGGTGGAATTGATTTGTAATGTTCGCTGCACTGGCTTTGTGGAGTGTTCCAGATCTCACGTTAATTCTTGCCTCACCTCATGGAGCACCTCATAGACATGGTGAGGCAATCAAATCACCTTTCTGTTGACTGCGTCTTGAATTATTGTAAATTATTCTCTGAAGAGATTTAGAGCTGATCTGAGAGCTTCGAGATTTAAAAGCTTCGAGGTTTAAGGGCCTCGGAGATTTCGGCAATTGGCTTTCCTCCGTCCGTTCAATCGCAACTCCATACTTTTCAGACCTCATGTCTCACCTCCCTTGATATAGCCGTGGTCGGAGTATGGTGGGCCAATTTTGACTCTGATCTGACCTCGAGGACGCAAAAGATGGAATCGATAAAAAATAATGTGGGTTGCACCCATTTAGAGTTCATCAAGCCAGTCTCAGAATATGTCGCTGGAGCTGTCAGAAACTCGGTATGCTGACTCCGACGAGCGACATTTTTTGTTTGACGTTTTGAGACATTCTTTTTAGTGCATTGGCCAAGTAAGACATAATAGCTTCGTCAACGGCCGAACTGTTTTTTGTCACATGTGTAGCCACTCATAGCCCTTTTTCCATAATGGCTGCGAAACATGTCGCTGGCTGGGTCATTCTAATTGTTCATACAAAGAGCACTGCATACAGGATAGGAGAAGGTAGAAGATTTATCTAGATTCGCGATTCTCGACTTCACAATAGTACTAGGTTGCTTTTTTACACGAGTCGGGGTGAATCCGATCCTTGTTTAAGGCAGTAGGCGCGACATTGTCGCACGGACCCGTCAAGACGGACCACCGACATACATAATGTCGTTACACCCGAAAACAATACCAATTACTCGATAAACCCTTACTTTAAACATCATTTCGCCATCCTCGAAGAATTCTTTCATCTTCGGCTCCTCGGTCATACGTCTCCGACGGCCCGTCAGGACGACAATGTCGCGCTATCCGCCAATCAGAACCGCCAGCTCTTGCTTAGTAAATGTCGCGCGCCCCGGCCTTTCGTTCCGGAACCGACATCGGCGGCCACATGACCTGCCCTGTATCCAATCCTCTCCTGCCAGTCATCGCTTATCATAAAAATCAGTCTCTCCGCACTATAAGTATTTTTCCTACACCGTCTTTCTTCATTAAAATCATGTTTAGACAAATTGCAAGACCAATGCTTAACAGCGCCAGAGTCGCCAGACCAGCACTCTCGGCTGCTCATGCTTTGAGAATGCCTTCTATGGTTCCAGTGGCAACCAAGAGAATGTACCACGAAAAGGTGCTCGATCATTATGCCAACCCAAGAAACGTTGGTGTTTTGAATAAGAACGACGTTGACGTCGGTACCGGTCTTGTTGGTGCCCCAGCCTGTGGTGATGTGATGAGATTGCAAATCAAGGTTGACGAGGACACTGGAGTTATTCAGGACGTCAAGTTTAAGACTTTCGGCTGTGGTTCTGCTATTGCATCTTCCTCTTACGTGACCGAGCTCGTCAAGGGTAAGACCATCGAGGAAGCCATGCTTATCAAGAACACTGCTATTGCCAAGGAGTTGTCTTTGCCTCCAGTCAAGTTGCACTGCTCTATGTTGGCCGAAGACGCCATCAAGTCCGCTGTCAAGGACTACAAGTCCAAGAGAACCAGCGCCGTGAAGGAGCCAACCTTGGGCCCCGCCACTGCTTAATTTTGCTTAGGCACTTTTTGCATTCACCGTTGGGTGTGACATTGGCCGGAGGGCCCCGACCGAAACGCGCAGCTAGCTGGAATATGACAGCAAAGCCAAAGGCAAACCGGTTGATTTTTTGATGTTTGATGATTTCTCCCTTGTTAGGGAGCTGGAGCTGACCGAAGAGTGGATGTCAGTGTTGACATTGGCGGCACCCTCAGTTGGCTGAAACACTCGGTGTTTCAAGCACGCTGCTTGTCATAGTCTTATTTATTGTACGCCGAAATATATAAAAACAAAAAAAATTCGAATAATTATGCAAAGTGTAATTCTATCGAGCTTATGTACTATGTACCCCAGAATTGTGGGCTGACTTTTAGCTGCATACACGCTTATCCTCTAACGTTTATCTATCACACCACAAAGAGGTATTTGGCGAATTGTTTGCCTAAGAAACCGATTTCAAGATCCCAGTGTCGGAGTCTTGTCATTGAAATCACACTGAGGCCGGTGAGGAAAGCAATCACTCCATATGCGATTTTCTTTGCTCTCAAACTGAATTGTCTTCTATATTTGAACAACCCACTCACTGTGTGGTAAAAGGAAACCCACAGTAGAAGTGCAAGCATGCCGTAGTTCACAAAGTTTCCGACCTTTCCCCACGGCAGCTGGTTGAGATAATGGGTCACATACGAGAGTGTAACCAAGGAGGAGTCTCCATCAACGGAAACAGGACCAAGTTTCATTTTTGCAATGTGAAAGGCTACTGCAGCGGTGAGAACGTATCCAGAAAAGGTCAATGGGGTGAAACTGGGGAAGGTTGAAGATATCCACAGCTTCTTGAAGCCTAAACCGAATATGGTGCCAATTCCACCGAGACCAATGTCGTCTCTATTCTCCTCCTTTATAATGATATCCGTCTCCTTCTTCTTTGGCCTCTTCTTGGCCCACAAGCGTAGAATCCGGAGTGCTAGCCCTGCACCGATATGAACTATTCCTGTAGCATACACCATGGTGGGTTCCATCAACGGAGCCATATATATGTTTCTGCACATTTCAAAGACATCCTGGCACGCCGACTGGCTGATTCCAATTCCAGGAATGATCACCGTGGATGCTGTGTGTAATCCGTAGAACCCCAAGAAGCCATAAGCCAGGTACTTCTGGATGTTTAGTAGAATCGACGAAGCCGTGTGGATCCAGGTTTTCTTGGGTGGCTCAGGCACAAATTGCGGCTCGTCTTCTGGATAGATCTCGTCTAGCGGGTCCGGGACAACTTGTGTAAGGTCTTCCACAGACATGACTTGAGATGAGGTGATGTCCAATGGGAGGTGTTGAAGATAAGCTTGCTGTGTGGAGGACCCTTGCAGTGGACGGTCACAAGGGTGGAATTTGTGTGGTAGGTGATATAATTAGGGATTAATTGGCCTTTTCAAGCGTTGGAGTGGAATTAGATGGTGAATTAGGATAAAGATGGTTGTTGGACTTGATTGCAAATGGCTGCGAAATGTCGCTGGTGATGCCAAAATGGATGCAACTTGTGAAAAGAAAGCACGAGGTGTGAAAGGCTTTCTGAGGTGAGATTAAATTATAAGTTCTTTTTCTTTGTTTGTCGTAGCTGATGATTATTGATTTATCGTAGATATCGGCGATGTCATTCAAATACCGAATCGGGCAACTTGCTGGCTTATCCAGACTTGCTGCGAATGGATACTAGGGAGATTGAACGGCAATTCTACAATAGTAATAGCGAAATGGCATTGATTAGTGAAGATTTTAAATTGATCGATCTGGTTCAACATAGTCAAAGAATATGAATATTTGTGGATATCGGAAGCTGAATGAATTGAATGTAGATCCAGAGATATAGGCACTTCGACCTCTCTCTGTAGGTCCCACTGACGCCTAGGCTCCATAATGTAAAATCCACTGAAGAACTGATGGCTTAAATAGCTAATGATGTAATTGGAAAACTCTGCAATTGTAGTGAAGTTGGGAGATGGTTGAAAGAAAATCAGAACTTAGAGGGCATACCTAATAGCCCAAGTAGAAACCGGATACGCCAATGAAACGGTATCTAAATCAAATCTCTTGCTCCGAGAGTACTCAATTTTCTTCAGCTTTCAGAAGAAGTAGCTGATGGTTAAGTTTGGAAAACTGCGTCCATGACGTACTCAAGGGTGCTCTTTTGCACCCAATCAGATCAATCCAAACTGTAACTATTAAAGCCTAAGGATTTAAAAACTTGTAATTAAAACTAGTATTAAGGAATCTCCAAAGCTTTTATATCGACTGCATCCATGTGTTCGTTTAAAAAATGGCCCCTTCCTGAAACACAGCCCTTCACCGATGCACGGACCCTAACAAAGACACCTTCTACACAACAAATTCCTCCATAATTCCACCAAAACCCATTTAAAACTTGAGCTAAAAGACCCCCAAATTGAATCAAATCACCTTTCCAGCTTTTTGCCAAAACCACACCTCAAGAGTCCATCCACCTCCTGGTAATACGTGGTGAGGCGCGAAATCAACACACTATCAACTGTCACCAACATGTCTTCTGCCACCTTTACACAGACTAGAACATTTGCACAGAACCTCGAGAAGCAGACAGAACAGCTTCTAAGCCGTCTTTCCAAGATCCAATCAGGAGGCGTCTCTGTGGATCCTTCCGAGGAGGAGACCACCGTGACCAATTCGATTCTTGAGGTTCTTGAGAAGAGAGAAGAAGTAGTGGGAAGACTCAATCGTCTTCTGGAGGCCGATGTCAACATGTCTACGTCGAAACTCCAACAGCTACAGAGACACAAGGAGGTGTTGGCGGACCACAAGGGCCTGTTCAACAAGATCCAAGGCAGGATCACCGAGGAGAGGAATAGAAACAACTTGCTTTTCACCATCAGATCAGACCTTTCGGCCCACAAACAGCGGGAGATACTGCTGGGACCAGACAGCGAGAACAACTACATCTTGGACGAAAGAGCCAGGGTGGATAACGCCAACTCCTTTGCTGATAGGCTTCTTCAACAGGCGTATGAAACAAGAGACGAGCTTTTCAGCCAGCGTGTGCAGTTGCAGAATGCCGCCAACAGGGTTCTGGGGACTTTGCAGAATATTCCAGGCATCAATGTGTTGATTTCGAAGATCAATACGAGGAGAAAGAGGGATACACTCATCATGGGCTTTGTCATTGCATTCTGCATCATTGGTCTCTTTTTCCTTGCCTGAACGCGGTGAAACTATAGAATCTGGCTACGGGTAAGAATAAGGTCTTGGAATCGCTTTGGGGCTTCATTTCGCCCTGAATATGGTCAACTCATACAACCATCGATACATTGAAACAAGATCCTACACCGAGACCCACCCCAACAAAGCTAAATATTCATCGACCTGCCAATGGCACCCCGGCTTAGGTGCGGCTCTTTTCCTGTTCGATCCACTGCCATCAATGCATAATGGTGTTTCAGGTTTTAAAAAATATCGTTGTGCGCAGGCGGTTATAAAAGACCAACAGTTTCCACCCAAACTACATGGATCCCGAATTCAACGACCGTATCGGTCTCTTGAGGCTACGTCGTATCGAGCAGTTGAATGAGCGTCTAAAGCAGCAGCTCAAGAAAGACCGCATTCCAGCCTCCAAGGCCGCTGCGCTTATCATAGAGAACACCGAGGAAACGAGCGATCCACTCGTTCCTTACCTTTGGCTGGAGTTTTCCCAGCGTAACAAGTTCAAAACCCATCAGCAAATGAAGCTGGGTTCTTCCGCTGGGGGTCTGTGCTGCACAATCGTCTAATATGGCCTACTGACATGCTCCCTCGAGGAGCTTTCTAGGATAATACACTGCATTACTTTGCTATTCCCGCATTCATTATGGGCTCATCCGCCCCTCTGCTTCTCTTCCTTTTCGTCGACCTGGATTTGCCGAAGATGGTCCACGCTGTCACCTCCCAAAGTGGCATCCAGTTCCTTCTCGTCAGATCCACATCCACAATCGTAATCTTCCAAAATGTTCAGACAGTCATAGATTGGCTTTTCCAATCTTTCGTTCACCTTGTTGTGAATATGACATCCCCATACCGCTGCAGTCTTCCTGCTGCTTACCTGGGGTGGGTGTCTCTTCAAGAGTCCTTGGAAATGCCTAGCACAATCTCCACATGGGTACACCTGAGCGAAAAGATGGATGTATTGCTTCAAAGTAGCCTTCTGCTGCTCATCAGGCTTTTCGGGGTATCTGGCCAAAACGGTGTGCAAAAGGTGCCATGCTGAATTGCCAAGTGCTGCTTTCAATGTTTCATTAGCCATCTTGGGCATGAATGGCTGATCCGTGAACTCGCCTACACTTTGGCCTGAGCTGGATTCTCCTGAATCTGCTTCAATTTTCTTACTTTCCTTCTCTGAAAGCTTGATATCATCTTGGGGGACATGTTTTTCAACCACTGGAGTTCTGGCACTCACAGGTCCGGAAGTCCCGAGAGAGGTGGTATCTCCCGAGGCCACAAAGTATATGGCGCAAGAAACGAGAATAAGGAGGCAGACGGCAAAAACCGGCCTTCTTGTGTGGATCATTTGATGATACGGTGGTTGGGGTTAAGGCGTATCTGACCACTTCCTAAATAGTATAGAGGTGGAGATCACGTGTACAAACACCCCAGAAGCACTGGGTCCTATCGATCTAGAAAGCTTGGTTTATCGTATTTTACAAAGGTCTCGGGGCTTACTGACCGGTTTTCTTGGCTTGGGTGGCGGCCTCCAATACACCAGGCAAAGCGTCGTCACCCATGGAAAAGAGAAGCTTGACACCTGCAGCGACAGACAAGATCAATGCCACCGAGGTCCACAACAAGAGGTGTGCCGTGGCAGAAATGTCCTTCTTGCCGCAGTCAAAGCCGCTCCAGTTGGTGGTCTTGCTCTTCTCCTTGTCGTAGGATGCCTTGCAGGCACATTGCCAGCACTTCTTCTTGATCTCTTTACAAGCGCCGTGAGAGGAGCAGTTAGAGGTGCCGCTGTTACAGGCAGCCTCGTCACTGAAGCAAGCGGCTCCAGACTCTCTCTTTTCGAAAGTGGAGAACAAGGACTCCAACTCAGCACCACGTTTCTCCAAATCAGCCTGCTGGGTTTCGTGGAGCACCTCGTCGAGACCAACGGCCACGACAATAACATCGAACTTGTTCTGCAACTCGATAAGCACGTCACCAAGCGCCTTCTTGGACAATTGGTATGTCTTGGAGTCGTAGCCGATCTTGCGGCCAATGGAAAGAAGCGACACAGACTGGGCGAAAACCACAGCCTTCTCGCCAGCCTCGACGGTCTTCAATTGGATCAATGAAGCGAGGTCGTTGATGAAGTGCTTGTCATTGACGAGCTTCAAGCCACTGTCCTGGAGACCAAGGTCAATGCGCTGCTGGTCACGCTTGTGACGGTCGCCCTTGCCAGTGAAGTGCTTCCAAGCAGAGACAAGAGCGTCGTCGTGATGGCGGAAAGGCTCCTTGAGCTTGCTCACCACGTCTTTGGGTCCCACGGCCTTGATCTCCTTGGTCAAGTGGGCGGCGATATTGTCCTCAGCGGTGGAGAGGATGGATGCAAATTTGTGGAGCGAGCCTCCCACGAGGTTCTTAACGTGGTCTTTCACGTTAAAGTGGGGAGGCAATTCCTGGCTCTGGAAGAACTCGGCTGGGTGGTCGACACCCTTCAATTCCACCAAGAGCTTAGGTTTCGAGGAGGATTCGGCCACATCGTTTTCGTGCAACTTGTTTAAAGCCTCAACCTCGTTATCCTCGACGTAGAAAAAGTCGGAAAGACCGAGCTTGTCAGCCAAGTATAAACGGCCTGCTGACGAAGGAGCATTGATTGCACCAGCGTTGGCAGAATTGGAGAGCTCGTAAACGGCAGCTGAAGCCGAGTCTCTAGCAAGAACGGGTGCCACAGCAGCGGAAAGCAACACCGAGCCTAGTATTGAAGCTCTCATGACGAAGAATTGGTGGTTTGCAAAGAAGCTGGATAGACAAGTCTTGACAAGTTGATTATCGCAATTCGTGGAAGGTGGGTGTGTGCAGGCCAGGGAGACAAAACCGGCCATATCTCCACGCACAGACCTTCCCAGGCCGTGAAATTCGGTGAGTGTGATGATAGAATGAGATAGAATGGTTTGGTAGTGTAAAATATGCAATCTCTTGAAATCCCCTGAAAAGCGGTGATATATCAAAGCGGTATTTTCAACAATCAAGAACGATGCGGTGGCTCAATGGCAGAGCTTTTGATTCCAAATCAAAGGGTTGCAGGTTCGATTCCTGTCCGTGTCATCTTTTTTTTTTTTGCAATTTAAACAAACACGCAAAAGAGCCTTGCGTTTCAGATAGGGGTGAAAGACTAATTTCGATTGATTTATATCTTCATCAGTGTCAGTCATGGATTTATCATCATAAGCGCAAGACGGCGCCGTGGTTCACGATCCAAAGGCCTCTTTGGAGAATGTGCCACAGCAGCCGAAGAGAAGAGTCTAGGTAGTATTGGACAGGTTTACGAAGGAAGCAAAGTCCCAAATGTGAAACAGGTCTAATAGTTGAAGAAAAAGAGAAGATGTGAATTTCGCAGTGAGGAAAATTTGTGTTGCCGGGTAATGCTGCCAGATCCAAACACCGGGCTCAGATACACACTGTGAAGGAGCACAAGTAACAGAGGGGAACCGGTAGAGCGGGGCGATGACGTGGTGTTGTTTGGGTTTAGCTTTGACCCCGCCGGTTGCAAAGATCCTGCGAAGGTCACCCTGAACAAAAAACCCAAAAAACACACGAAGGAAAAATTTGGATGGGGACTTTGATGGCTGCAAGGTTTTGATCTGGAGGTATGGATGTGGGAGGCCAGGGAGGCTAGAAGCCTTCATATTCGAAATCGCCTTCATATTCGAAATCATTGTTCTGTCATGCCAGATTTTTTGTTGAGGGGGTGAGTCAGATGGCTCTTTGTGAGTGTCATTGTGGAGGGCTTCTTTTCGCAGCCATCGACAAGTGAGGCCCTGGTGTTTCGATATGGCTTTTAGCTTTGGGGATTCTTTTGGGGATTCATTTTAGTATAGAAATTAGACTATCGGCAAGAAGACGGTAATTTGTAATTTGGGTAATGGGAGGGCCCGCCACGGTACCACGAAGTGCCACTGAGTACCACACGGCACTAATGCCTACTATCCTGCCACACTAATATAGCACCTTGACACGGACCAGCCCAGCCACGGCCTCGACGGTGTGGCTGAAAAGCCGAAAATCTGTATGACACTTTGCACGTTTTTAGATGCACAGCGTGACACATTGATCTGTCTTGTCGGTCTGGCTCGATCGTGACGCATCCTACTGTTCCAGCTTTGCAGCCATCTCAGTTGCTGAACAGCCACAACCAGCAACCACCCTGAGATAAGAAGTTTCAGGGTCTTGATTGAGGAGATAGTAGCAAAAAGGCAAGAAATAGTAAAAATGGCACAAAGAAAAAAACAAAAAATCAATTCAAAAACCAAACCTCCATCCCACAGGTCCTGTGGTAAGGTGACTGCGTTCCACTGACACCTGCCTGACCGATAAGAGAGGTGCGGCCGTTGGACCGGGACTTGCTGGAGGCGAAATAAGGTTTTTTGTGGGATTGCAAAATTGCTGTTTTTTGTTTTTGCACGACCCGCCAGACCCCTGTAATTTGCAGCTTCCCTTTCAAAAACTCACTTTTGTAGACCTCCGCAACACCGGGATTCAGGTTCGGAGCGAATTCGGTCTTGTCACCAGACGAGCAAAAAAAAAGCCCTGCCACCACACATTCTGAGAGACCCGCGCCTGTGTGCAGGACACAGCGATAAGGGATCACGGGAACCCACCGCTTCTTATAAATACCCACACTTCCTCTCGCAGACCCCAACTACCAACAAGCAAAAAACTCACAAATTCACATATCATGGCCTTCAACCCAGCTTACGAAACAAGGCGAAGGGTGTCTGTGCGCCACACGGCACCAGAGGAAACAGAGTCAGCGGTGCTTTCGGAGTCACAGTCCCTGTGGGTCGTATTCAATCCAGATAGACTAGACAACGACGTGATTCTGTTCTCCACGACAAACCCACTAACCACAGAAGGCTCTGGCGAGGCGGTGTCTGAAAGTGGCAGCGAGTGCAGTGAAGAAACAGACAACGACGATCTTATCGATGAGGTACAGCCGTCCCTCTCCTCCCGTATAGACCAGTGGCAAAACGCCACGGACGCCGCCGTGTCCGACAACATCGCCTCGTGGGACTTGGACCTGGACTTGGTCAGCCAGCTTCTAGACACGTCGATTCTCCGGCGTGTGCCTGCGTTTTACGGCGACCACTACTTTGAGAAGATGTCCAAGGCCGAGTACGCCCGTTTCAAGCGGGCCAGCGCCATCTTGCGCAAGCTGCTTTCCAAGAAGGGCGCCCCTGTTGACAAGGACCTCATCACGCGGTTGCTCCAGGTGCTACAGTGGCAGAATCTCCTCAGCACGCTGGGCACGTTGGTGAACGACTACATTGTCAATACATTGGCGCGCACGCAACCCACAGTGGGGTTCCGTGACGTGGAATACTCCGACACAGCGACGCTGAGCTCGATGGTGATGTGTGGCGGCGGCCTGCTGTGGAACGATATATAGCCCGCTGGCGGGACCCCCAGAGAAGACTACTAGACGTGAGTGACGCTCCTCACCTGCCTCCAACTTCCATGGCTTTCCAGTGGGTCTGCTCAGGCTGGCCTGACTGGCCCCGACTGGCCCTTCCACCTGCTATTGTGCGTTCACTCCGACCCCGACCATAAGGGGCAAACGCGATCCTCTCCCCGCGCTTTCCGGGAATAATTACAAATCTACATTGCAACAGGTCATTCCGCAAGTCTCTTCCATATCCTGAATTCCCTCTTATCGCTAATCTGTCTCATTGCATGTCGCCACAATGCTGGTGCACGTACCGCGAATTGTCTCTTTTGGGCGTGTGTGGCCAGCGCGCTTGGGTTAAAACATCAAGCTTCAAGTTACAACACTAAACTACTACCATTATGTTGAGATCCCAAGCAGCTTCGATAGCTCGTTCTTTCTCCACCTCGGCCACCAGGTCCGCTTTTGCCAAGATGCAATTGCTCGGAAACATTGGCTCCATCACCCCAAGAGAAACCAAGGATGGCGTGCCCTTCCTTACCTACTCCTTGGCTGTCAACAGATACAACCCCCAGGCTGCCGAGAACGGCAACACTGTGGCCGACTGGTACAACCTTTCTGTTTTTGACGAGAAGCAGGTTGCTTTCTTCAACAACCACTTGAGAGGTGGCGCCCAGGTGTATGTGGAGGCTTCCGTGAGCCAGAGGCAAATTGTTGACGAGAACGGCGAGGGCAAGATCGTCACTTCGTTGAGACAGACGAGTTTCGACGTTGTGCGTTTCCCCAAGAAGCTCGAGGAGGAGGGCTCCGAGTAAATAGAAATATGATACCCTGATTGCGTGAGTGTGTTTGTAAGTGATTGATAGTGGCAATTGAATTGCTTTGGTTGATTGGCAGTTGTATAGGAGATTTCTGACCAATTGAATGTA